TCCCCATTAGGAGGTCTTGCAGGACCTCAGGGTGCCTGGAGCAGCAGCCCCCACCTCCTGCCCCACAGGCACTGACCCCTGGGTGTTCACCACGATGAAGACCCTCCTGGAGTGTCCCAGGTGCTCTGAGCTGCTCCCATAGCACTGGTCCACAGAGATCTTCTGGGAGATGCCAGAACCAAAACCAACCCTGGCCTCCAGGTGGATGATGGAGCCAGGGCTGACCACCAGCGGCTTCTTCATGGCACTGGGGTCCTCTGGAAGGGAGGCTGGGTTCAGTGGAACATCCCCAAGCCCACGCCACCACAGATAGGGACATCAGAGAGGACCCAGACCACCACCCATAGGTGTCTTACCCCTACCCCTGTGAGACAGGTGCCTCCCTGCAGCTCCAGAGTCCACCCCTGTCCCTGGAAGCCAAGGGCTGTCCCAGCTCTTCCACCCTGGTCCAGGTTCCCTGCCTGCTCTCCAGAGCTCCAGCACCCTCCTGGTGCCTCCCATGGAACCAGGCAGGAGGAGCCACCACCCCCAAATCCCATCACGGTGTCAGGCACAGGGTTGGGAGCATCTCAGAGCACCACCTGCACCCTCAGTTAGGCTGGGAAGGAAGGTCCTGCAGGAGTGGCCACCTTCTGGTGAGCCCTAGTGCTGAGGCCAGACAGGAGAAAGCATTGGGAGCTGCTGGTCAAACATAGGGGTCTTGGCTGGACACATCATGTGGTCTCATCCCCCAAAGGTGGCACCTAACAGAACACTCACCATCCAGGAGCCTCAAGGTGAAGTTCATGACAGGCTCTTCAAAGTGGCTGTGAGCAGGAGTCCCACCAGGCAGGCTGGCAGCAGCAAGCACTGGGGCCACAGCCCCTGTCCCCATCCCCAAAGACACCACTGGGGCCACCACCGTGTGGCTGGAAGATGCTGGAGCCATGGTGGTTCCTGCAGCAAGGGGAGGGTTCAGCCAGAGGGGCTGAGGCTGCAGCAGCTGGAGCAGCAGGTCCCAGGCACAACGAGGACATCCAGGTCCTCTGGTGTCCCTGGGACTCATGGAGGGCAGGTGGCAGCAGCACAAAGGAGGGGAGAGTATCCAGGAGGTCAACAGGGTTCAGACACATCAGGGGGACTCCTCCATCCCCACCTCCTCCAGCCAGGCCTCTTGGAGCCTGGGACCACTGTAGTCACTGTGGTGGTGGGTGCTGCAGGAGGTGGAGCTCCACAAGGGTCTCCACAGCCCCCCCACGTGCAAAGGTGTGAGAGCTGGGGAGACTTCATGGGGTGGTCCCACCTGGTTGTCCCACACATAGTCCTAGGCCCACCACAGTTTTGACCCCACCTCAGCACCAGGCACACCTGGGAGCAGATGGGCTGCACCAAGAGGGTTCCCCAGTACCATGACCCTGGCCAAAGCTGGGGACAGACCAGGAGCTGCCCCTGGGATGGGAGACCATTGCCAGCAGCCAGGTGCCCCACCAGTGGCCCTAGTCCCCTCACCCAAACCAGGTCCTGCTGCAACCTGAGGGCAGAAGGAGCCTTTGCCCCAACCACATGTCCCCAGAGCTCAGGGTCACCTTACAAAGCCTCCTCTTCCCAAAAACAACAGATCAAGGGGGACGTAAGGAACCAGCACTGGGCAAAACCAAGGGGCACCCACCACCCTCCTGCACCCAGGTGTGGAGTCCACCACCCACCTCCCCCAGTGTAACCAGTGAGGGGAACTGCCACAAGGTTCCAGTCCCACTCACCTGCCACCTCCAGCACAGCCCCACACACCAGGACCCACCAGCACAGCCCCATCCTCAACCAGCCCAAGTTCCACCACCTGGGGACCTTTAAAGCTCAGGGCCAGGTGCCAACAAGCCCCAGCTGGTGCTGATGGGGCTGGGCTTCACTTTCTCTGCAGCCAATTGGCCCTCCCAAGTGTGGGGCTGGACCCACACCCCATGCCACCCCACCCAAGGTTGTGCACCCATCGGTTCGTCCCTGTTCTATCACACAGTCTGGGTCCTATGGATGTTCCTGGTCCTACCTGATGATCCTACACATGCTCATAGGCCCACCACTGTTTGGATCCCACCACTCAGGCATGGCCCAATGTGTGATCCTGGTCCCATCACACAGTTCTGGTCCCCAGGGCACCACCCGTGTCCCACTGTGGTCCTGCTTGCAGCTCCTGCCCCACCACATGATCCTGGACCCATAGTCCCACCTTGGTCCAATTATTGAGAAGAAACACCCATAGGAGGAGGCTGCTGGTCCATGGAGCTTCAACAGGAGAACTTCCTTGCCACCCTCTGGCCCCAGGCAGCTACAGAGCTGCTGCTCCCACCCCAGAACCTGCTGCTGGCCACTCTCCAGGACAGGCAGGATGGTAAGGGACAGCAGTTTAGTCACAGCCAGGCCAGAGACTTGGTGAAGTGCATGTGTCCCTGGCTCCTGCCTGTCTCAGGTGGCCCCAAAATCCTGTCACAGCCCTCTCTGTGGGGGTTACTCTGGTGGCCTGGGCACAGAGGGACACAGAGCATGTCTCCATGGGGATGTCATCCTAGGTGGGCTGTGCAGCTCACCCCCTGCCTCCATCCTCCCATCTGCAACCAGTGGCCAAGGTGGGATTTGGCACCTGCTCCCAGCAGGAGACCACAGCATGTCCTGGCAGACACTTGTGGACCTCAGGGAGATGTCCCAACCTCCGTGTCCCCAGTACCCATCCCAGCGCCTGTGGGCAGCATCACACACAGTTGAGTTGGTGGCCCCAGTGGTGGCTCCAGACTGGCCATTAGAGCATGAGTCCACCCTGAGACCACTGGTGTTGCAGCTGGAGAAACTGGAGAACCCACCAGCCACACAACTGGGACCTTCTGGCATGAGTGAGTTGTGTCACCCGTGTTGGCTGCCCCATGACCCCGTGTTGGTCTGTCCAGACCTTCCTGGTGGCATCAGCTCACCACCAGCACCTGGCAGCAGAGCAGGGTGGCTCTGCGGGGACCCAACGGGGACGGACCAGATGGATCCAGGTGCCCAACTCACCCTGGGGGTCTTGTTGTTCCTCAGGGGCTGATGGGAGAGCAGAGCCAGGGAGGTCCCTGTGCCCCAACCCCAGAGAAGGAGGAGGTGGTTGGTGACCAGTTGGACAACCCTCATATGGAAACCTGCCCAGCCCACGGTGCTCTTACAAAAGTAGAATTGCTCTTTTATTCCCAGAGTTCCCGCGGGGAGCGGCGCTGGGCGGGGGTCGTGCCGGGGGCTCGGCCCTGGGTGCCACCTCCAGGCCTGGCCAGGGCCACTCTTGGCAGGACACGGTGTTGCCGGTGTCATCCAGCCCAACCAGGACACCCAGGATTGTCCCCACCATCATCACTGGGACGGTGGCCACCGGCCCCTGCTCCCCCATCTCCTCCCCACTCTCCCTCCCACCCCAGTTCTCACCAGATCCAATGGACCTCCTGGAATGGTCCCTGCAGGTGCCAGGGCCATGGGACCCTCCAACTGGGATGGTGGGGGGTTGGGAGGGGACCTGCTGCACCAACACCCCTCACCCATGGGGACCAGGGCTCCTGTGGTGGGTTTTCCATCCTCCAAACCCAACTGGGGATGTCATGGTGTCTTTTGGCCTGCTCCAGGTGGCCACAGACTGACACCCATAGGTGGGCTGAGAAAGTGCTGCACTCGTCACACCCTTGAGTGGGGACAGGTGTGGTGGGCCCCAACACGCAGCCCCAAAGCCAGGGTGGGAGGGGGGAACCCAGGAGCCCTGGGGGTCCCCACTCACAGGTCTTCCCATCCCTCAGGGGGCTACTGCCCACCTGGGTGACGGGGACCCACACCCCTGCCCGCCTCGTGGTGCGTCTCCAGCCATGTGGGGATGGATGTCCTGCTCCTGCTGTGACTACGCAGGGGCTGATGGGAGAGCAGAGCCAGGGAGGTCCCTGTGCCCCAACCCCAGAGAAGGAGGAGGTGGTTGGTGACCAGTTGGACAACCCTCATATGGAAACCTGCCCAGCCCACGGTGCTCTTACAAAAGTAGAATTGCTCTTTTATTCCCAGAGTTCCCGCGGGGAGCGGCGCTGGGCGGGGGTCGTGCCGGGGGCTCGGCCCTGGGTGCCCCCGCCAGGCCTGGCCAGGGCCACTCTTGGCAGGACACGGTGTTGCCGGTGTCATCCAGCCCAACCAGGACACCCAGGATTGTCCCCACCATCATCACTGGGACGGTGGCCACCGGCCCCTGCTCCCCCATCTCCTCCCCACTCTCCCTCCCACCCCAGTTCTCACCAGATCCAATGGACCTCCTGGAATGGTCCCTGCAGGTGCCAGGGCCATGGGACCCTCCAACTGGGATGGTGGGGGGTTGGGAGGGGACCTGCTGCACCAACACCCCTCACCCATGGGGACCAGGGCTCCTGTGGTGGGTTTTCCATCCTCCAAACCCAACTGGGGATGTCATGGTGTCTTTTGGCCTGCTCCAGGTGGCCACAGACTGACACCCATAGGTGGGCTGAGAAAGTGCTGCACTCGTCACACCCTTGAGTGGGGACAGGTGTGGTGGGCCCCAACACGCAGCCCCAAAGCCAGGGTGGGAGGGGGGAACCCAGGAGCCCTGGGGGTCCCCACTCACAGGTCTTCCCATCCCTCAGGGGGCTACTGCCCACCTGGGTGAGGGGGACCCACACCCCTGCCCGCCTCGTGGTGCGTCTCCAGCCATGTGGGGATGGATGTCCTGCTCCTGCTGTGACGAGGCCACATCCACCATGGATATGTCCTCCAGCCTTTCTGTGGGAAGGATCCAGCTGGGAATATCCCACCTCCCAGTCCTCGACTCCAGGGGCGGGGGCAGAGGTCCTGCTCCCCTGCTGGTGGGTGGTAGCCCAAGTGGGGGCTCGGCAGGATGGGGACACCGTGTTCCTGTGGAGCCTCCAGCTGCTTTGGCTCATGTCCAACCAAAAGCCACCACCAGTAAGAAGTGAAAGCACCTGGTTCCTGCCCTGGGAGAGCAGCGTGTCCACCATCTCCTACCACTTCAGGAAGTCCCGCACGTGGCTCCACAGCTTGGTGATCCAGAGGTTGACCCCCAGGTCGGTCAGGTACTGGATTTCAGGTGTCAGCATCTTGCGGCACAGCTTCCGGTGCTTCTTGTTGATCTTCTTCTTCAAATTGTAGCCCAGGATGGACTTCTCCCCCAGCGGCTGCCAGGGTTGCATGGAGGACTCTTGGATGGCGCTGGCGTCCACAGGGCGTCCCCCATCGATGCAGATGCTCTTCATCTTCTCGTTCTCCCTCTGCAGCTCAGCCACGTCCTTGGCCATCCGCTCCCTCCCGTAGGCCTCCACCTTCCGCCAGAAGGTCGCGTTGAAGTAGCGGTAGAGCTTGGCGTCGATGAGGTTCCAGGAGGTGGCCTTCTCGTAGAGCTCAGGTGTCAGGCGGGAGACGGTGGAACCCTTCCGGGCGTTGAGCTTGAAGTAGAGGATGTCCTCCAGCTGCCAGCACAGCAGGTCCTTCAGCAGCACCAGGGACTCGTCAAAGTACTCGAGCAACATGATGAGGTGGAAACGCTGGTCTATCTCCTGGATGTGCTCGTCCACCTGAGGACTGTTGGCGTTCATGTTGTTATCGTAGCCCAAGTCAAAGAAGAGGAGGTTTTGGAGGTAGTGAGCGTTGAACCCGTTGGGGTCGTAGTAGTGCCAGGGGTCCCAGAGGAACTCAGCCAGCTTGTCCTCCCCCGGCAGCTTCCAGGTGAGGGGGATGACGCGCCCGAAGTAGTGGAAAGAGGACTCGAAGAGGTAGGCCGGGTCCCTCAGCACCGTCACGAAGGTGGCGTCGGGCGGCAGGAGCTTGCGGACCTCGTGGTACTGGAAGCGCATGTGGTTGCAGATGATGTTGAAGCAGGCGCCGGGCCGGTAGTGCCGCACCTGGCTGCGCTCGAAGTACGACGGGTAGTAGAAGTCGTTGCGGCCGTTGGGGAAGGCGAACTTCAAGCCGTGCTTCTCGCCGAAGCGGAAGAGGATGTTGAGGATGGTGCTGCTGGCCGTCTTGTGGGTCTTCATGAACATGACGTTCAGCTTGGGCAGGCAGCTCCCTCCCGAGGGGCCACCCGTGCCGTTGGTCGCTGCCGGCACCCGGCCGGGCGCTGGGCTGGAGGAGCAGGAGGAGGCGACGGGGATCCTGGCGGGAGGAGAGGTGGGAGGACACAGTGAGGGCAGCTCACCCAGCACAGCCCGGCCACCAGGAAGGCTTGGCTGTTTCTTTTACTGGAGGAGCTGGACCTGGGAATGGGTGCTGGACCTGGGGAATAGGTGCTGGGTCTGGGGACAACTGCTGGGCCTGGAGATGGGAACTGGATCTGGGGAAACGTGCTGGGCCTGGGAATGGGTGCTGGACCTCGGGACAGGTTGTCACCCTGGGAATGGGTTCTTGCACCCAGCACCCCCCAGGCTCCCCAGCAGAGACAAACCCCATTTTGGGCAGACCCCTTTTGCCCTCTGTGGGACCAGGGCACCCACCCAGCAGGAGCCCCTCAGCAAGCGGGGCAGAGCCCACTGCCCCCTGTGATCCCCTGCCCTCAGGTGAACCTCCAAGCCACCAAATTAAGCTCCTTCACCACCTGGATGACTCCAGCCATGGAGACACTTCACTATGGGGGCATTCACAGTGCTCAGCATCCACTGACACTGGTGCAGTCTGAGCGGGGATCCCTGTCCCCCCCTACTGGCATGGCTGGGGTGGCCATGGTGATGTTGAGACACACATGGAGACACACTCTCCATGGCTGTAACTCCATGGACAGGATCTGACAATGTCCTGGTGAGGTCTAGAAAACCTAAAGTCCTTGTAGGAGCCATGAAAGTTCCAGCACCCAAGCAGAGAGGGAACTAAGCCCAGAGCGTGGCTCTGCAGAGGAGCTCATGGCCCTGATGGAACACCCAGAGCAACCCAGGTGTTATCTGAGATGCCCTAAGCAGGATCAGAGGCCGCAGTGTTGAGTGACTTTGGACACCCCTAATGAAGATATGAACCTGATCCTTGATAACACTTGATGGCGTGTGACTGGACACAGAGTCCTGAGGCAGGACTGGATCTGGTTTATCAGCTCAGAGAGAAATGAAATGCCTGGAGCTGAGCCCTGGATGTCACCGTGCTGGGCAGAGGGAGCTGTGGACCCCCTGTGCCCAACCTGGTGGGAGAGGGTTTACATGTTGCAGCGCTCTGGTGGCATCTTCCTGTGTGCCCACATACACACATCTTTGGTAAAGAGCACCTGAATAACCCTGCCAGTCCTGCCTGCTCCTCCTGGGAATGTCTCCCATGACAGTTTCCCTCTCCTGGGGATGGGAAGCTGCTGTGGGGGAGTCTTCTGCACCTCCCCATCCCCTCTGCCCAGGCTGGGGATCCCCCCAGGGAGAGTGTCCCCAGCCCCCCTGGGGGCTGGGATTTGGTTGGACTTTAGGAAGAAATTCTTGGCTGTGAGGGTGGTGAGAGCCTGGCCCAGGTTGCCCAGGGAAGCTGTGGCTGCCCCATCCCTGGCAGTGTTGAAGGGCAGGTTGGATGGGGCTTGGAGCAGCCTGGGCTGGAGGGAGGTGTCCCTGCCCATGCAAGGGGTTGGATCTAGATGGTCTTTAATTCCCTTCCAACTCTAACCAGTCTGGGATCCTGTGATTCCCTCTACACATGGGACAGGGCGCAGTATCCAACAGGAGCCTGGAGGAAGGGGACATGTGAAGCTACCAGAGCTCCAGGACTGTCTCCAGTTGCCTGGGGTGGAAGAGGATGGCCAAGCTGCCAGCAGGGGGGGGGTGGCAGGTGGGGACCCCACACTCACTCTGTCATGCTGACTTGCAGTGGGGGGACAGCGTAGGAGTAGAGCAGCAACATGAAGCTGGTCAGGAGGGTCCCCAGGACCAGCCCCTTGCACATGGACCTCCAGGGCTTCCCATGGTACCGCATCCTGGTCACCTGCAGCCAGGGGAGAAGAACCATTAGCACTGGGGGACAGAGCTGTGGGGCTGGGGACAGGGGGACAGAGCCCTGGAGCAGCCAGTCACAGAGCTGGGGGGGCTTGGGGGTGGGCAGGGGACATGGACCCACTGGACAGAGGGTCTGTTGGGCAGGAGGCCCCTTCCCCAGCTGCACATCCATCCACACACGTGCTGTGCATGTACACAGGCAGAGGGCACACACAGACAAACATCCGTGTGTACATGCGTGTATGTGCATATATGTGCAGGGGGGTGACAGGAACACCCATGCACACCTGCACATGCACCAGGACACAGACACCTGTGCGTGTTCATGCACACACATGCACACACAGACGTGTGCACTTGTGCATTCCCCACACTTGCTGGGACACAGACATACCCTGAGCACATTCACACGTGTACGTGCACACGCAGGGGCACACGCAGGGGCACACATCAGCATGTTCCTGCATCCACATGGCTGCACAAGGACACACACACGTGCACTCACACGTTGCCCCATTGCACAAGGACACAGACACTCCTGCACAGGGACACAGGCACCCCCAGCCCCCACACACAGGTGCACACAGAGGGACACAGACACATCCACGCATCCTCCTGCGTGCCCACGTGCACACAAGGACACGGACACACGTGCATCTCCATATATGCACATAACACCCCCACACGTGCACGCACATCCCCACGCGTGCACAGACCCCACGGCAGGCAGCCCCACGCTGTCCCCCATAGACCCCCTCTCCCCGCTCCCACTGCCCCCACAGCCTCCCCCCTGTCCCCACCTGCCGCCACCCGGGTCAGGGAAGACAGGGGGGCACACCGGCTCCCGCGGGA